AGAGGCAGTGGATCGGCAAAACTTAACAACTCAGAATTTTGACGTGATAGGTTGCTTATCACCCATGTATGAAAACAGTGCAATCCCGGTCGCGCATGTCCTCCCTGTCGAAAAAATTGCTCTTGAGCTTACACGCGTAAGCCAATCTTACACTAGTTCGGACGGGGTGGTAATACCCCTCTGAGGCTGCCCGCCGCAACGCTATCCGTTGGGTCCGGCAACGATTCAGCGTCCCTAGCCTTGGTGCACTCGTCCAACAAAACAAAGGGGTCTCGGAAACGCACTTTTTCGCCATTTTTTACCTATCTGAAGTGGATTTTCGGGGTCAGCGCAATGGATAACCCCAGGTAAGCGCAAGGTTCAATAGATCATAATTTGCCGAGCCATGCCTTTGAAACTGGCGACCACGAGCTCTGCGCAATCAGTAACCCTTTCCTAGCGCTTGCTATTCATAACAACTTATAACCAAAAGACTGAGGTACAATGTTGTGCAAGATAGCTGTTATCTGTTTGTCTGCATCTGTTGTAAAAAAATACGAAAGCCATTTCTGGAAAAAAAATTAGGTCCGAAACGGCATCAGCCCATGCTAGTTGGCCAACGTATTGCCAATGCTTTTGCCCGCATCATATAACAAAGTCGAGTCGAAGGTGAGCATTTGGCACTTTATTGCCATAACACCTATACTGAAAATGTTACTTCAATACTCAAACGTCGATCTCCAGCGCTAGTGAGCTACATGAGAAGGGAGTAAGATGAGTACCAGAGCTTACTGTTTGTAATGTTTGCCATTTGCACATTCTTTTAATGGTTTTTACTTTGATTTACAATGTATGACGTTAAGTCATGCTTACCATGTTAATAGTAGCTCCAACAGGAAGAACGAAGCGTGTTACCCTCCTATCCACGCCTAAATTTTCCTCCAAGCAGTTGTAAGTGATAGGGAGAGTGGCTGAGCTAAATCTGAAGTTGAAATCACTTATAACTTCAAGCCGAACCAGACCTGGATGCAGTTCCCAAGGCAGTGATCCAAGCCTGGAGTAATCCACGCATGAACATATAAGGGTTTTCCTTTGTGGTAAGGAAAAATAGCAGAGGAAGCGATATGAGCGAATGAACGGCCAGTCCTGATAAAACCTGCAAATTTCAGTGGCCTTGGAAGACTGTAACTAATTTTGAGCAAAAAGAACACTCACTGTGACCATGTACATGGCGAGCATTCTCGCCGTATCTGCCAAGTCGTGGATTTCTAGAATCTTACCCATTATCAAGCACATGATTCCGAATGGAGAATACCTAAAAGTGCGGTCAGTAAGCATTTTTTT